CGCCCCTCCCCTTCTACACACCAGCACCACCACCACCACCACCACCACCACCACACCCGTATCTTCAGATTCAGAATGGCTGTGTACTGTGTTCTGGGCTTGTTAATTCCGCTCGGTGAGAGAATTATTTTTAGAGACTTGGTGTGCTGGAAAAGGCTTTTAAAGTCACAAGTATTACTCATTCTGCTTGAGATTCTCTTATATACATTGAAAAGTTCTAAAAGTTTCTTGAGTGTTAAGACACTGTACTTTTTCTGCACTTTTTATTGTCACAGCAACGATCCACGCTGATGCGGAATTAGTTAAAAGTACAACCGTACGGGTAATAGGATCTGCTTTTGTATGCGTGCAGGAGACACAGCAGTACACGACTTAAGTATAACGTTGACTTCGGCAAAAGTGCTGCTTCAATTTAACCTGAATGTTGATGGCTGTGTAATTCACAGCTCTAATTACGTCTGACTTCAGTCGCATAAAGGAGAACACATAAGGTCGTGTGTTTGTTGTGCTTCTGTTGATCAAAGCCAGATGCAGATGGCGACTGAAATGGCAACCAGTGATTTTCAGATACGGGTATGCGCTACACCTTATGGTGATTAGCTAAGTTGTTGCGGGGAAATAAAAGGTGCTCGCATTAAAAAAAAAAAAAAAATGTCCACAGATAATCGAAAGAAATCATTTCCATGAAAGCTCGTTTCATTGTCCATTCATCCATTTTCTGATCCGCTTATCCTCACAAGGGTGGTGGGGCGTGCCGGAGCCGATGCCAGCTGTCTTCGGGTTGCCAGCCGATCGCAGGGCACACATAGATTACCATTACACCAAGGGACAATTTCGAGTGTTCCATTAACCTGCCATGCATGTTTTTTGGAATGTGGGAGGAAACTCGAGTACCCGGAGAAAACCCACGCAGGCACGGGGAGAACATGCAAACTCCACACAGGGCGGCCGGAGCTGGAATTGAACCCGGTACTTCTGCACTGTGAGGTCTCTGCGCTAACCACTGGACCACCTGGCCGCCCTCGTTTGCATTGTAATTCATGTAAAAATGTATTACAGGCTGAATATAACGTGATAAAAAAATACACAGCAAAACTGTAACATGGCAGCTGGTATATGCATTTTAAACGACTTTGTTGAATAATTTAATTCGGCACGTACGTCACCTTTTTTTGTACCGTGCACATGCCGTTAAAAGTTTAATTAGTTTGCAAAATAATAAGTCCTATGACAGTGGACTTAAGTGATGTCTGTGGAAATAAACATAAATCGCTCTCTCTCTCTGTCTGTCTCTCTATTTCGCTCTCTGTACCCAACCCCCCTCGCAAACAGATGTTTATGCGGAGATTATGGATTGTCCATCAATCAAACCCAAACCCGAGCTTGTACGTCTGTCATTCGGCCGCCCTCCCGTCTCACCTGTGACTCGATGAATTAGTTGCCAGCAGTGTGGGGCGCGATTAGCGGCGTGTAAATATTTTCCTTGGACATCCTAAGTTAGCATGACTTCCACCATTTGGCTTCGTTAGCTTTGAGCCACTCAGCTTTGTCGACAATTGCGAGGGATGACCTAGTTGTGGGCCTCGCTAACTGCGCGATACTTTTTTCCCCATCTTCTACTTTCTCACTCGCTACCACTCCACCCACATTTCCTCTCCCACCGAATCCCTATTATGTATTGTCTCTCTCAGTTTAGGGTATCACCTTCATCCTTTTAGGCCACCGACTTTGGTCTTCCCCTCTTGTCCCTTTACGTGTGCATTCTTTCGGTCCTAATTTATCTCTCTTCCACATCCTATTATTACGCTCTCCATTCCTTTTCATTACTCTCTGGCTGCACCACGTGTCATGCAGGGAAACATCGCGAGCAGCGGTCCCCGCTGAACAATTATCATGCAAAGCAATCCAAATAGAGATGTTTGCCGAAAACAACATGTGTGTAATTACTGCTTAATGAGGCCCTTGTCTCAGGCAGAATGCCCAATTAGACTGCCGGGGAGCGAGCGATGCCAAGGCCCTGTGAAGAAAGAGAGGAGAGAAGAGAAGTACAGGCAGGCTGCAACTGCGACGAGAGGTTGGAGACGGCGAGAGCACGAGAGGAAAAAAGGGAGGGGGGTGGGGGGGCGGAGGCAAATGGAAGAGCAGTGAATGAGAAGATGATTTCTGCTGTAAATGTGGAGTAATGGCAGAGCTGATAGCATTGAGTCCGGGATAAATTGGCATTTAAAGTAAGAGAGCGAGGCAGTGCATAGGAGAGCTGAAACGGGGTGGGGGTGCTTTATGTCGCAAGATAGGAGCAGCCATGTCGAAGCACAAAATGGCCGACCTTTCTGGGTTGCATTTCGTCTTTCGGAGGGGTCGTCTCTTTTTCATGTTGAATGTTATTTATTCTTATTTGCGACAGGTCACCGATGGGGCAATGGTACTTTCGCATACTGTGGCGCAGGCAGAAGCTGTGTTAAGTTCCCACTTAGCGATGATGTGAATGTTGAGAATGATTGGCTCCCCTTCAATGATGTTCTTTGCTCTTCTTTTAATGAAGAGATGTTCTCTTGAAAATCCACACTGTTCGATTAAAGGTATGGTGTTTAGGTAAAGTAAGCGCATGGCGGTTGTTGCCCATGCTGTAGTCATTGATCCAGCATATTTGCGATCGGGTGATTTGTCTCCTTCGGGTATCCTGAGCAGAAAGATGGCGGCGGCACGTTATCCTCCTGTATGGTGCGGTGCGACCCATGTCATTTAATTAGCGATTACTAGACCTACGATTATATGAAAAAAAAAATGTATATACAGTATTTATTTTTGCATGTTATCATAATTCAGAGTGGATTTTTAAAAATGAATGAACAATGAAAAATCTCACATTTCTACACACTGTCCCTTTAAGGCGCCATTATTAGTTCATTAGGAAAACCTTGCCGTTTAACTGTTGTCTTTGAGTCAGCCATTTATTTCATCAGTTCCTAAATAGTCCAAGAGAAATCCCGTAAGTTGTTTTCCTGATTATGAATCAGCTTTTCGGATTCAATTTTAATGTAAAATATCAGTCGTTCATGAAAAGCTAGGACACACACGCATTGACTGAAGGAATCTGCTACTGTTACTCTATCTTGAATTTTGTGACGCTCTTTGACAAGACGGACTTCAACTTGTCTTCTCCCTTGGGTCCATCTGCCTTGCAAGGTTAATATGAAAGTGGTTTTCAAATTAATCTGCGCACCCCAACTCCACGCTCTGTGCTTCATTAAGCAAATTTGATCTTTCTCCGACGCATCAAGTAAATGAGTCAGCATCTCATTTGAAGTAAGTGTGTAGCTTTCCCTGTGCAGAGTTTTATCTTTCCCTGCGCGTATAATTGAATGCCTTGTTTCAAATAAAATAAAATACAACACTCATGTAGCAATGTATTCATTTGAGCTCTAGTTGTGATAACAGGTAAGAATGGAAAGGTGTACATCTATTGAGGCATTGTTGTGATGTTAATGGATGCGTGAGCTGCTTTTTTTTCCATACTGCCATTCGCTAAGTGCTAAGTTGAATAGGACCCATTCATTTGTGGAAGCTCATTCAAACAATATAACAGCGTAAGTCATTATTTCCGTTATTATTCCTTGTGTGTGGGCATTTGCAGTCAAATGCAAGCAGAACTTTGACTTACCCGATGTGTGAGTTTTTCGAGATACCAGCGATCTCTCCACCAATATTCAACTTTAACTCAGAAGGAAAAATTTGAAGGATGAGCGCTCGATGGTGGCAGCGACCTTTCATAAGAGAGCCCAAAGATTTCGTACAAGCAGTTTATTGCCACTCCCAGTTGATGTTTACTGTCAAACTAAACATCAAACAAATAGAATTATACATTGTGTATTTAAAACAGCCACGTAGCTTTGCCTTAGGAAAGTCTGCTAGCTGAATGCTAATACATCATGAAAGGAAATGCCATAGATCGGGAAACAAATAGCTTCGATGTTGCTGTGCTGTAAGCCTTTATGCATCTGATATTTGGACACCAACGGTGCAGCAGCACATGTAGACAGACAGTCTCTGTCACAGTCACTGAATTGTTTTGCGATGAACAACTAATATTACTGAAGCCTACACATTCACTTAGTTGTGAACGTCGTGTATTATGTGTGTCTATATTATACTGCCCCGGGTTACCAAGAGTCACTCACTCACCAGCAGAACCTGCCCGATGTATTGATCATGATAAGCACACTTTTTAAAAATGTTTTATCCTTTTATTAAATACAGTACTCTGTAAAGTGCTTTCTTCTGATCACAAACACAAAACAAAAGTTCCATTCATTACAGAGGGTAAAGGTGGGATATTGAGATCTGAATGTTTGGAATTCAAACTTGGTCACGAAAACCAAATTAAAGTGGTAAGTCAAGGCACCACTGAATAATGTTTCTTACAGTCTTGTAAATCCCCATAATGGCTGCTACGCTCGGCATCGTTAACCAAGCAGTGTCCAATAACAGCCATTCATTTTTCTATTTCTCCTCTCATATGCTCGTTTATTGTACCTGCATTTCTCATATCAACAAGATGATTAGATATAATATGGTCTATTAGTCAAGTTAACGTGTTGATACTTGAAATGATGATTTCATCTGTGTGTGTTTGCAACTGCCTGTTTGCACCTCATCAGCCCGGAGGTTTTATATCATCCTGAAATTTTTATAAGAATGTTCCAATTGATAGTTGGTTCCAAAACAAATGACATATTTAAAATGTTCCGGAACAGTCATCTGCTGTTAAATCAAGTTGAAGAAAGATCTGATCCAGATTGCACATGTACCCCAGAAATTTTAATGCAGATGTTCATATTAGGTTGAAATGTATGTGTAGTGTGTGTAGGATTATTTTACATAGAATTTGAAAGAAAGTGCGGGAAAAAAAAACCCTTTAATTCTTTTAAATCCAAGCGTGGTGATTTTGCAGATGACAAATGTTTATACGTTGACGAAGGTCTGCACTCTTGTTGGTCATTTTTTTCACCGGGTATGTCATATCCTATTTCTTGTTCTCTCTTACCCAGCATAGTTTACTTTGTCTTCAAGGGTACTTTTTTTTTTCTTTTTGTGCGTGTGCACAAAGACAGACACCCGAATAAAAAAGGGCTCCCAGTAGCTTTACATCTGAGGAATCTGGTGTGGAACGCTGTCGAGTTTGATCATGTTGTCTCTGCTGTCTGGCTTCTGTGCAGTGATATTACAAAGAGTGACCTCAGTCAGCAAACAAAAAGAGGGCTTCATTTGACACATTGAGTTGGTGTGTGTGTGCGTGTGTGTGTGCGTGCACGCACGATTGTTATTATCCAGCCCAGTCAAGGTTTGTTCCATTTGCTGCATGCGCGCTATGAAAAAGTGTGATGCCTTTGGAAGCCAAGGGCGTTTCACAATACGTCTCCTCTTAACAGGGTAGCACTTTCTCCGTCACCTTGACACTGCACCTGTTCACTTACCGAGCTGTTTGTGGGGAGGAATCTTATTTTCTCCTGAGCTAAAAACAGAATGCGAGTTGTTGTTTTCCCTCTTTGTCACAGCTGATCTTTGCTTGGGAATTCCTCTGGGATTAATCCTTCCCCGCATACTTGACATCAGAGCCAGCGTGTTGCATGTAGCACTCAAGAGGTGGCCCCGGATGGTTTCCCGACACTCTCGGCGGCGGGGGGGTCAGGGGTCACTGTTTGAGTCCTAACCCCCGTCAGACAATGTTTTGGCACCTGCAGCAAGTGATCTTTCAATGCCTTGTTAGCTGGCTCTCGAAGACACGGCGCGTCGCCGCGGCGCGCTGATTCATTCACACTCCTACTCACACGCCGCAGAGCCCACAGGGAACGGCCTATCTTTCACCACTGAGCTCATGTAGCCTCATTACCGGCCCCGCTGATGAACAGTAATTACCGACAGTTTCATGCCACACATATAAGGTTTAACCAAAGTGACAAAGCCATTAGTCTCACACTTCGGGCCACCCATAAAGGGCTTCACCAGTGCGCGGCTCCTCCGTGGCGTATTTATTTATTTATACGTATTTGGACTGCCCGGTAACGTCTCCCCTGTGTTTCTTCCCGCAGTTTGATGGTGACAACATGTACATGAATGACAATAACCAAGAGTTTCGGTCACCAAATCAGGTAGGTGTGCCCAAATCATTCACTAGTTTTACCTTACGGGACACTATAGACCAGTGGTTCTTTAACCAACCCTACTAGTTCATGTCCACATCCACCGAGTGAAAAATAAATATATATTTTTTTTACAAATTCAAGATATTAAAAAAACGCATTTATTAAAAACAGAAAAATGTAAATACAATTTCAAGGGATAAATATACTTGGGTTTTTTTTTTTTTGTTTTTTTTTTTTGAACATCGTACTATCACGACAGTCACACGTTGACTACAAAGCGAACTAAATTTCTCACAGCACTGATTGGACAAGCAATGAAATGTGCTCCCCTGCAGCCAGTGATGGGCAAGCGGGTGTGTCATAACGAATTGACATCTTGAGTCGGGTGTGTGTTAACCTCCATGGCAGATGGCCCGTTGAACCCCTGAGACCGATTCACCGAACCCCTGGGGTTCGATTGAACCCAGGTTAAGAACCACTGCTATAGAAATTTAAAAAAACAGTGTCTACATTCATGTCTGTGTAATATTTTGTTTTAGTACTGCACAGAGCATTTGGCAGTAAATATTGGTAGAATGATTGCGTGCATGAAAAATTGTTTCCATGCATGTGGATCTGCTGTAAAAAATTCCATCAGAAAGTACGTTAACGTTTTGTGAGAATGTTGCCAAAATAAGGGCAGTAGTTGTAGTCGTACCCGACTTGTTCAAATGTTTTCATAATGGTCCATACAGTGCATTCATAAAACCTGCTCGGAGTCACATTTAAGATGGATTCCATCCCAGATGACTTTGGGCATTCACGCTTGCATTCACAGCTCTAGGCTAGTGAGAGACTTCAATTAAATGAACTTGCACGTCTTGTGGGGGGGACAGGAGTAACTTTGGAGAAAACACACTCAAGCACAGAGAAAAGCATGCAAACTCCCCCAAAAAAGTCTGAGCTGAGATTCAAATTCAGAACCTTTGGCTGCGAGACAGATGCACCAACTCATGCTGCCAATGAAATAATCAGTTTTTGTTTGTTTCTGGAAATAGCATTGGTCAGATTTTCCATCATTACTTTTCCCAAATTAAACCTGTGCCCTAATACATTTGCTTTACTAAATAAACAAACTCTGATTTATTATTATTATTATTAAGCTGTTCGTTGTGGTTGTGATTCACTCGCTATGGAAAAAAGGATTTGGATGCAAAGCTCTGCGCTGAAAGCTTTCTGTCCGTCAGAGTTGTTTATGTGTACTGCTGTTGTGATTGCAAGGATGGTACGATTCTTCCATCTGGTTTAATTTGGGACATCAAAATGTGTTGTCTGTTAGGTCGCGTTCAGAGTTTGCAGGGCTCAAACGTCTCCGGATTTGCGGTAGCAATCATAGTTGATCGATTTTAGTCTTAATCCAAGAAAATGTGGGCTGATGAAGGTTTATTGCCTCCAAATAAATATTATATGGGCATCTTTTAATGTACAGCACTTGCACCAGTCTTAAAAATATCACAACCTACTTGTCTGAATAAAAATGGATGAGACGCTGAACACCTATCCCACTATTCCAGACTCACACCTGTAAACATTCTGGTGTGGACCAAGCAGTGCAGACCACTTACCAAGAGCAAAATTCGTACCGTATTTTCCGCATTATAAAGCGCTTCAGAGTATAAGGTGCACCTTCAATGAATGGCCTATTTTAAAACTGTTTTCATGTATAGGGCACACCGCATTATAAGGCGCACAGTATAGAGGCTGCAATAATGGCTGCAGTTGCATTATACATCCACTAGCTAAAGTGAATACAATACAATGCAATACTGCTTTATTTATATAGAACTTTTACAACCGCTGCAGCTGTAACAAAGCGCTTCACAGAACATTTAAAATACTATGTCCAAGAAATCAAAATATTGATCCATAAATATACTGTAAAGCGCAGTGGATTATAAAGCGCACTGTCGGCTTTTGAGAAAATTGAAAGCTTTTAGGTGTGCCTTATAGTGTGTAAAATACGGTCCATTTCAATAACTAACAATTAAATATAAGTAGATTTATCCATCCATCCATTCATTTTCTGATCCGCTCCATCTTCATAAGGGTCGCCGGGGGTGCTGGACCCCACGCCAGCTGTCTTGGGGCAGTAGGTGGAGGACACCCTGAACCGGTTGCCAGCTAATCGCAGGGCACACACATTCGAACAACCATCCGCGCTCACACTCACACCTAGGGACAATTTAGAGTGCTCCATTAACCTGCCATGCATGTTTTTGGAATGTGGGAGGAAAACAGAGCACCCGAAGAAAACCCACACAGGCCTGGGGAAAACATGCAAACTTCACACAGGGAAGCCAGAGTCGGAATCGAACCATGCACCGCTGTGAGGTTGACGTGCTAGCCATTGGACCACCGGGCCGCCCATAAGTAGATTTATGATCGCCATATTTGGTTGTTTTGAACGTCACTCGCTCAAAGGGATACTTAACTTTTTCCTGTTTTCACCATTATGTAGATTGCCACAAACCACAAAATGTATGCCAGTGACAGATTATGTATATATGGATTACAGCATCAGCAATGCTATCGCCGTGTGAGTCAACAGGTCACTCACAGCTTATGGCAGCCACATCACACGGCTCGCAGCGTCGCTGATGCACTGCTTGTTATGGATGCACAGTCATGGTCACAGTCGGGGAGGTACACACAGGCGCGGCGTTGAGTGCTCCCAGCTGCTGTGCGGGTACACGCGGCTGGACATATGGCCAGTTGGGGAACATTGTGATTTGTTGATCCAGCAGTCAGAAAAGAGAGCGAAAACATGGAGAGGTGGACCCTCCTCGTCAATTAGCGCCTTGCTAAATAGCGTCACTGACGGGTCAAGACCATGGGGTGTACAGAAACACACACATAAACTTGTCACGTTCTGCGCCGTAATAGAGAGTGACATATTCTTTGTTCCTAATTCATTCAGGTTGTTTTTTTATTCATGTGCTTGCTCCATCAGTACCTCAGTAGCTCTACTTACGAACGTCTCTTCATATGAAATTTTCAAGTTACGAAACGCCTCAACAGCAATATAGTGCCTCTTGTTCCGAAAGAAATTTCAAGATAAGAAAGGTAAAAATACAGGATGGGCCACGACTCGCAGCTGCGAGTTTCCTGAATGCAACATTCTTATAGCTGCTCTGCCATTGACTATTCCCGAGCATCATCCTGGCATCCCATTAGCTAGGAGGGACCTCTACAGTATGTGTCTATGTGTGTAGATAGATAAATAGATATGTGTCGATGCAGCGTCCTTGTCATTCGCCCCCTTAGGCCATGAGGCGCTCCGATCGTTTTACGAGGTAGTTGTGAATAACCCAGAAAAAGTATTTGCCTTGGACATTTTCTAAGGATCGTTCAAAGCTGACAAAAGCAAACATCCTTGGATCAGTTCTTTACAAAACGCCAAGCAAAAACCACTTCTGAGAGAGAAAATGAATGAAAGAGGGCAACCCCCCCCCCCCCGATGAGGACACAGTTAAAAGTTAAATGACCATCATTTTTATTCTTTATTCTTTGTTTTTTACACTATACACAACTCTCATTTTTTGTGCAATAATCTAATTGAAAAACATGTATTTGTTACGGATTTTGATGCATTTTTATGCTTTATAAAACATTTATGTCTGAATTTTGGGGGGCCTGGAACGGATTAGGACATTTACATGGAAAACACGCCTCTACTTCCAAATTTTTCTCGTTAAGAAATTTCCAGAACCAGTCAATTAGTTCTTCCCAAGACGAACACCAAAACAACATGCTCACAAAACAACGCCCACAAAAACAAAGAGAACTACTTGACGGATTTCACTTCTCACGGGTTCTTTTTGGAAGGTAACACCCCGTGATAAACAAGGGATTACTGGATCGTCATAAGGTTGTCTTACCTTTGATGTTAGGATTCCGCGACAATAATGAGAGGTCGAGAGGGAGCTTTAAAGCTTATTGTCTACTTATAGCTCTCATCACAGACCAGGGGTCCATTATTGTTAGCCACATTTGCTGGCCTGCCCTAATTATGTCACTTTACATGCATACACGTCTGCGCGCTAATTGGGATAAATGTCCGGCTTTGTACTTTCTCCACTGCGGCAGCCATGTGTCAATCACCGACTGCCTCGCAGGTCTGCCCTGTTGTGGCAACAAATAGCTTCTTAGTGGATAAAGCAATTTGGGCTTTTCAAAACATCTCAGCTGCAGTTGATGCTCTGTCAGTGATGTCAAAGAGAAGCTTACTCACCAGTCCCGAAACTCCTCACCATAAACACAAAGTTCACTCTCTGGCTTTAATTCCCAAAATCCTTTAATGCACCACAATCATTTGAAATGGGAAAGGAGGAGTGCGGGGGGTAAAGTGCGCATGGCTTTGCTGCAGTGTTGATAGTTTCAAATATTAAGCAATAACATGAAATGCTAGAACGATTAATAACTTGGCCTTCACTTGCACTAAGATCTATAAAGGAAGGATTTTTAAGCCGCCTGTCAGTCTTGTACCATGTTGTTGCTATTTATGCAGTAGCACAAGTTGTAACAACACTTAGCAACCAATCAAGTTGCATTGGTTGCTTGATTTAATTTTCTGTGCTCGAAATGTAGTTCACATTTAGACATTGTTAAAAAAAAAATCAATACTTGTAAACAAGCATAGGTTTTTAGAATTTGTGCATTGCAGCGGTAAACACGAAATTTAACGCTAACACACCTCTCGAGGTGGCCTGGCTGGTTAAATAATATGACTGGGGATTTATGGTTGCCATGCCGATGACAGACATGCGCTTCTCCGTTTTCCAGGCCAGTGTCCTGTCAAAATGATAACGAAATTATTTGGGGGTAAAATGACTTCATTGTTTCTGCACGCCTATTTGTCATTTTCACTGATTCGATTCAGAGGTTTGAATCGTGGATTTCAGCGCAATCGGTTATATGGCAGCACAGCATCAATGATTCATAGTAAAATTTCTGCAAAGATTCATTAC